CCAGTAATCGAACCCCGGCCGTCCAGCCCGTAGTCCATCGTTACACAGACTGGGCTATGGTCACTAAGAATATGATAGCAAGAAACAATTCAAGTTTGAACACTTTAAAGCCCAGTGGTCATTATACGTACCACATTTTTAAACATACTAAAACTCTGCATTCTGTCCGCAGAGTGTACTTGCGTGCTTCATACGGTTCTCACAATAAACAGCGACTGTTTCCCTAAACAGCATTAACCGGTTAGGCTTTGTATCAGAGATGTAATGTGTGTTTCCTGTGAGGTACGAACTGAATCCATATATATTATTCGTAAGGAATTCGGTCTTTAAAGGGTTAGAAATATCAATATTACTTTACTTCTATTATCTTTACGTGCTCACACAACAACCACAAGGCCAATTAATATAATATAAAATAATTATAATGACGATTGTATCGACTACCGTCTTCCTGCAAGATTTCACGCGTGTTGCTCGTGTGGGCGATCTATTTATAGCGGACCAGCCTTCGCTACGAGTAGTGGGCGAGAGACGCGAAATTCCTCTCGAATAACACAGATTCTGAGACCGGGCAACCAACAGGCCCAATTTCGCGGTACACGCCCTTGTCACCTTGAACCAACTTGTTACGATATTGTTATACGTGTATATGAGGGGCAGTCAAATGAAAAAGGGGCAGAAGCCAAAACATATTAAAGAACATTTCTTACCTCAAAAGTAATCTCCAAAACTCTTAATATATTTATCCCATTGGGAGATAAGACGGTCAATCCCGTCCTTGAAAAAGCTTCTGGGTTGTCTATGGAACCACTTTACCCAGCCACACACGTATTCGTCCGATGCAAACCGATGCCAACGAATGTCTCTCTCTTCAGGTCTCCAAAAATGTGAAAATCACATGGGGAGAGATCTGGGCTGTAGGGGGGATGTTGAAGCACTTCCCAACCAAATCTCTGTAGCGTATTCCTCACAGAGTTGGCAGTTTGGGGGGTGCACATTATCATGAAGAAGGATAATGCTGTTTGATAGCATTCCAGGGCGTTTTGACTTCATGGCACGTCTCAATTTCTGCAAAGTGTCTTCATAGCGCTGTGCACTGATTGTGGCCCCATGCTCAAGAAATTCGACAAGCAGAGGGCCCTTGCAGTCGAAGAACGTCATCATCACTTTACCCGAACTTGTGTGAACGGCTTTGGATCTCTTCGGTGGGGGAGAATTCACGTGTTTCCACTGTTGGCCCTGCCGTTTGCTCTCGGGTTCAAAATGGTGGCACTAAGTTTCGTCCCCAGTGGCAATACGGGACACAAAAGCAAACACTTCCTCATGGTATCGTTGCAAGTGACCCAGTGATGCAGCCATTCTCTGAGTCTTCTGTTCCTCCGTGAGTTGATGTGGAACCCATTGTGCGTAGATTTTGCGGTACAGCAGGTGTTTTTTCACAATGGCGTGTACGGAACCGTGACTTATTCCCATCAAAAGACTAATTTCTTCCACAGTGATCCTTCGGTTTGCCCGGATATGACCATCCAACACAGCAATAACATCAGGAGTGATGACACGATGAGCCTGTCCTGGGCGAGCAACATCTTACAGTGACACACGTCCCTCTCGGAATCTCTTATGCCATGCCAGCACACGCGAACGTGACATGCTGTGTTCGCCGTAAACAACAGACATGCGACGATGAATTTCTCGTCCTCCTACTCCTTCAGCAGTCAAAAAGCGCACTACACTTCGCTGTTCTTTTTTACCCGCCTCCATTTCTGATGTTAGACGACCACACGTAGCGCTAACCTTACTTCCAGCACAATAAGCAAACGCACTAGTGTGCAAGGGCACGTTGTCACTGTGCTTTCCCGAGTCTCCAGCAGATGTTCGTGCCGTAAGCAAATTCCAATGTTACCAACTTGCGCGCCGTGTGAGTTATGCGTGGTGACCCGTTTTCATTTGACTGCCCATTATATATATATATATATATATATATAAAACAAGGTTATGGCAACAAAAATACTAAGTTTTTAAATTAATTCAGATATACTGATTCCACATCTCAATACAAAGAAAATGTTTCCATCATGTCACTGTTTTCTGAAATTTAATTCTGAACCAAGACAGCTAGTTCATTTCACGTGTTATTTATCCTCAGTGTTCTCATAATTCTGTCAATCATAGAAAAGGTAAAGTTGTCCCTGTGCTTATCAATTAAGCATCACGCCATGAAAACGTATGGGTGAGTTACAGCTCCACCACTCTCGACCTCGGCACTATACATAGAGGTGACTGTTCACCTTCACGACCCGGCCGCTTTATCCCCAGGGAAAGAACCCTCGGTACCCACTGGACAGAGTCTAAGTGGACCCTGGAGCCAGTCTGAACGCTGTGGAGCAGAAAATATATCTTGCCCGTGCCCGGAATTGAACTCCGGCCGTGTAGCCCGTAGCCTGTCGCTATACCGACAGAGCTATCCAGACTTCCGTTTTGTCAATCGTAATGGAAAAATATGGCGTTTCGTTAATGAACAGAAATTTTGTTCACATTTAAGTAATGCTACCATTTCAAACTGCATACGTTCACATGTTCATACAAAAAGGGCAGCAAAAGAACAGCGCGTTGCAATTTTCTGCAACAGAAGAACAGCGAGTTACAATTTTCTGTCATTTTTGTGATAAAGTGTACCCGATGCGGTAAAAAACACATTATTTCATACAAAGTTGCAAAAAAATGTCGTCTTATGTTGTTTATGGGTCTACGCAGTTGAACTTCCGTCCTTAGTGTATTTCAGACGAGGCTTTTTAGCCCAGCGTCCAACTCCCTAGCACAAGAGAGTCTCTCGGGTGCTGTCCACAACATATTTGCAGCCACACCTCCATATCTGGAGTATCTGAAACCTGAGGACGTGCTCTGGCACCGTGACAGACACACACTTGACATGACAGTTGTCCCACAGCTAATAATGCATACAGATGGTCCCTGTACCGATATTGATTTCTACAGACACGTAACTGCTTACGAGGGTATCACAAAAGTACCTTCGGCCTGGCTATGGACTCAATGTAAACGGTAAAGTCCCTGTGCTTAATTAACTACGCGCCACGTCATGATGACGTATGGAGGAGTGAAGGTATAGCTCCGCCATTCTTGATCTCGGCAGTAGACGGAGGTGAAAACTATAACTTGGCTCACAAGATAACACATGTGATTTTAATTCGAGGGGCGCCTAGTTCGAACCTCGGACAGGGCACCGGCTATCCTAAGGCTTTTTGTATATACCTTCAATCCCTCCAGGCAAATTCCGGGAGAGTATACCTACAATTAGGCCACGGGCACTTCCTTTCACATCCTTTGGTATTCATTATACACTTAGAAATATCTTAGAAATAAAAGACACACTGCCTAGGCCGAGATATTGACAGCGTCGTTAAATAAACAAGAAATAAAAAATATACAATAATACGGCTCTTGTCCCTTTGAAACCTGAAGTTCGTATATTGAATTCGGTTCCTATTTCACACAAAACGTGCTGCATTACTAAGACCAACCGGATACTGTCATTTAGGGAATAATCAAAATTTACTCTGCGAATCATATGTAATACATAAATATATCGTACGAGAAAATACATAACGAGTCTTTTAATGTTAGAGCGGGTAAACGGTAGGGATGTCCCTGTGCTTAATTAATTAAGCACTATGCCATGAAGACATACAGTGGAGTGGAGGTATAGCTCCACGATTCTTTGCGTCCGAACTAGATAGAGGTGAGTGGTCAGCATCAGGCCCCTGCCGCTTTACCCTTGGAAAGCGCCCCCAGTACCCACTGGACAAGAGGCTGAGTGGGCTCCAGACCCATCTAGACGCTATGGAGACGAAAAACCTTGCCTCTGCCGAGAATCGAACCCCGACCGCTCTGCCCGTATCCAATCATTACACCGGCTCTCCTGCTACGTATAGTAACTATTCTGCTTTAGAGGTCAAAATAACCTGGTACGGGTGGGTCAGAGGATGACTACCAGCTGGGTGAAGAATGCAGTCTTCTAGGATGTGGCGCCGTGTAGATCTGATGAAGGATACGAACATGGTAAACACACAAAAGTTTTGACTATATGCCTCCGTAATATACTGAAACTAGACTTTACTTGATATGTTCTAGTTCGAACCTTTTTCATTTTACGAAAACCTTGTGTTCGGCATCAATTGGCTTAAATATATTTGATATACAAGAAATAAGGGCGTCAAAACTGCCATCATGTAAGGTTCATTTTAATGTTATTAATTTTCCTTTCCCTTTGCAGCGGCAGCTCCAACCTCGGACTTTTTCTGTACTAATAATACTGCTATATTCATTTAATCGAATCTAACCACAGAACCTAAGACATTGTAACCATGGGGTCACGTGTCAACAAGAATCAAAACATTGTTAGAAAGGGCAATGAGAAATGAGAGACAAACTAAAACACCCAATAAGAAAGTAAAAATTCTGCTCACACTTCAATTTATTATTTATTATATATAACAGCAACTTCATTAATATCTGGGGGACGTACGAATTACGGTCTACAAAAAATTAAACATTTGCAATAATATTGGTACTGTAAATGAATTATTCTGTCTGCTTCCGACATACTGCGCCGGCGCCTAATCATGACATTATGTCCAAAATCTGTCCTTGGGAAGGGTTTCCTGCTTGACGTAGGTCTCTTCCTTTCACTGTCAGACACGTTACTGTATTGGATTCTTACTGCACGTCCTGAAAGTAGTTATGTAACATCTGAAAGGGCGAATTCAGGAAATGATCAACGGTCTTGGTACTGCGAAGTAACTTCATTAACAAGTCAATATGACAATCAATGATGAAGCACAATGTTAGAATGTTATGAGCAAAACTGGTTTCGGTCGATACTATATGACATGCTTGCAGCTCACTTGCGTTCTAATCGTGCAACTGAAAGTTCAGTAGTTGGTGTTCAATATATTGTAGGTTCATCTGTATAGTCCACGTACCTGATTTGATACATTGCACAGCTTCTTTCGCGGAAACCCACTTCGGATCTCTTTTAAGGGGTTGAGCTGGTTCTGGGCTGTAAGTGTAGTATGTTCTGGGTGTATTACCACGAGAAACAGTGACCGACGCAGGCCCCCAATACAAAACTCCACCAAGCCTTGTAGACACTCTCGCAACAGATGCCATAGCAATTCCTATTCACAATATATTACACTACACTCAAAGCGTTCACACAACCAACAACCGAACTTCAAATCGACACCTCACACATTCGATTACTTCTGATTCAAACGGCGAAAAAGATTACGTCGCTAGTGATAAGAGTGGGGAGACGATTGTGCGATTATCGTGCCTCAGGCGGAGAAGTTCATAACTTGCTCACCGACTACAGCCATTGAGTCGATCAAGAAGGTATCTACATGAAGTCCGTGTTCTCGTACCAGTGCGAACAGCGGCAGAAAATTTTATTCCAGTTGCAAGAGAAAGGATGTACAAGTTACTAACAGAATAGCGTCTAATTTATACTTCAGATATGTTTGTGGCCTTGAACAGCATTAACGATTGGGGGAAAATCAGAAGACAACAAATCACATAGTTTCTCAATATGCAATTTCTTTGTCTAAATACTATATGTTATCAAAAAAATGTTCATTCAGAAATTAAGAAGTAATTTTAACTTAGAAATTCAAAAAAATTACAGCTATGGAATATGAAGCATGTACCAAACATCTTTAAATTTTTTGTCCCATTGGTAGTACAGTTCTGTCCATATCTGACTAAACCTGCTGTCATTCATGTAGTCTGAATCTTCATTGTTCCAATGCTGTTTGGCATAGTAGGCAAACATCTTCCACAAGTCGCCTTAATGAAAAATTCAAAGGACCTAGACAGCATATGTTTGGCCATAATTTAGCTTGATTGTATTCACTGTGAACTTTGAATAGCATAGACTAAAGCACTGCCAGAATGAAAAACCATAACCACCACAAAGCAGCCTTGGAGTATTATGCATACAGTAGTACTTTACAATTATTTTAAAAGAAGTCACTCACTCCACAAAGATCAGTTCTTCTTAAGAAGCTAATAGTTACTCAGCCACTCAAGACATTTCAAGTCCATACCCTTCCATCTTATTTCTTTAATTCATTCATTCATCAGTAATCTGTCAAGACGATAGGTCCACAGTCTCTTCCAAAACAGTTCCTCCACTTAATGTGATCTAGAACTTTCTCCCTCAAATGAGAATATCCTCTTCTGTCCCCAGGGTCATCCATCATCTTCTTACGTCTTCTTCCTCATCTTCTGGTCACTTCTCTCCACCCCTCTATCTTTCCTTCAATAACTTCCTTTAGAAGGCAGTTACTGCGTAAGATATGACCAATCCAATTAGCCTTCCGTTTTCTTATTTCGTCTAGGATATTCCTCTGCTCACTGACTCTAAATAACACTTCTTAAACACTTAAGACCTTAAACACTTCTTCATTTCTCACATAATCGGTTCAACTGATCTTCTCCATCCTTCTCCAACACCACATTTCGAAGCTTTCCAGGTGTTTCTGATCTACTGCCCTAAGTGTCCAAGTTTCAGCCTCATACAAAGCCATGCTCCAAATGTAGCATTTCACTAGTTTCTTTCACAAATTTAAGTCCAATTTGCTGGTAAAAAGATTCTTCTTCTTGTTAAATGCAGCTTTTGCCATGGCAATCCTAGATTTAATTTCACATGTACACCTTCCATCATCTGTTAACAAGCTACCCAAATATTTAAAACATTTCACATTCTCCAGTTGTTTTTGGTCTGTCTCTATTGTGACTTGGGTTGGTTGTCTCGAAATTTTCATTACTTTTGTTTTTTCCACGTTCATTTCCATGCCATAGCACCTTCCAATTTTGATTAGTCTATCAGTCATACCCTGTAGCCCTTAGCCATTAACACAAGGTCATCTGCATATTTCACAGCTTGAATAAATTTCCCTCCTAATTTGAAGTCTCTAAGCCCATCCAGAGCTTCCTTGGTAAGGCATTCGCTGTACAAGTTGAACAAAATTGGTGATGAACAGCATCCTTGTCGAACTTCTCTTCCAATTTTCACACTTCTTGTAAGATTTGAGGCTTCCACGGCGGTGACTATGAAGAAAGCAGTCTTCCGGGATTTGGCACCGTGTATATGTGGTGTTAACCGACGTTTCGGAGGAACGTATTGCCTCCATTTCTTATATTTTTTCTTCTATCCTGAAGATGGAGGCGATACATTCCTCGGAAACGTCGGTTAACACCACATATACACGGTGCCAAATCCCAGAAGACTGCTTTCTTCACACTTCTTGTCTCCCCTCTGTCCAGTCGCACTCTAACTTTCTGATCCATGTACAATTTACTAATCAATCTTCTTTCCCACCAATCGATACCTGTTTCCTTTAGGATCTGCATTAATTTGGTCCAGTTTACACGGTCAAATGCCTTCTGCCAGTCTATGAGTTCTTCATCTATCTCCAAAGTTCGTTCTGCTATAATTCTCATCATCCCAATTGCATCCCTGGTTCCTTTTCCTCTTCTAAATCCAAACTGATCCTCTCCAAGTATATCCTCTATTTTCCTTTCAATTC